CAACACGTCCTCCAAACCGGCCGATTCTCAGAGATTTCGAGTTATCCCGATCCGATTTTGCCCCGATCTTCGCGTACGGCAGGTTCGTGTCGTGTCGACCCCGGCGTTGGTTCCCGACACCGCGCTGGATCGTTCAACCTTGAACGATCGGCCGCTGCCGCTACGTCCGATCGTTCAACGTCGATCGATTCTGGGTCGCCGGCGGCGTTCAAAGTTGAACGCCGCTGGCGGGGTCGCCGCCGGTCGACACGACAGTAGGAGGAGGAGGAGGAGGAGGAGGAGGAGGAGGAGGAGGAGGAGGGGGAGGAGGAGGAGGAGGGGGAGGGAGCAGGAGGAGAGGAGGAGGAGGAGGAGGAGGAGAAAGAAGAGGAGGAGGAAGAGGAAGACGATGAGGAGGAGGCACCACCCGGCGCCAGAGGCACCGGCCGCCAGCGCGGGAGGCGCCGGGCGGCGGGGCCCGGACCAGCTGCGCACGCGCAGCAGATGTCGGGGCCTCCCCCCCCCCCGTCTGCCGTCCGGTGCTCCTCCTCCCTCCTGCTCCTGCTCCTGCTAGTCCTCGTCCTCCTCCTCCTCCTCCCTGCTCCTGCGCTGCTAATCCTCGTCTTCCTCTCCTCCTCCTCCTCCTGCTCCTGCTCCTGCTCCTGCTAATCCTCGTCTTCCCTCCTCCTCCTCCTCCTCCTCCTCCCCCTCCTCCTCCTCTTCCTCCTCCTCCTCCTCCCGAGAGATCGAACATCCTCCTCCTCGTCCTCATCCTCCCGAGGGATCGAACGTTCTCCTTCCCACTCCTTCGCCCAAATCTCCCGATGTTATTGCTTCCGCGGGCGCGGCCCCAAGAGCGCATCTCCACCTCATCCGCCTCCTCCTTCTCGAACAGCGACGCTCCTCCTCCTCCTCCTCCTCCTCCTCCGACTCATTTTCCGTGCCGTGCCGCCGGCATCCCGCTATCCACACACCCCGATGGCGGCTCTAGCAACAGTCTGTGTTGTACAGCTTTTGTTGTGCAATCAGTGTGGTGCAATCTATGTGGTGCAATTAATCTTGACCGTCTTGAAGCTGTCCTCTCCACTGCTCGTGCAAACATCCCACCCTCCCACCCGCAACTTGGTCGCAAGACCTCTTCAGACAAGACCGTGACGGTAGGTACCACATGGCACTTGGCCACGACACCGACGCCGACGACGACAGCGACATCGACGACGACGGCGCCGCCGACACCGACTGCGACGACACCGACGACGTCTCCAATGTTTTCGACGACGACAACGACGACGACACCGACGACGACGACGACAACGACGCCGACGACGACGACGAAGATGACGACGACGTCGCCAACGGAGACGACGACGACGAGGGAGGAGAAAAAACGACGACGGCGACAACGACGGCAACGACGATGGAGGAGGGAAGACGGCGACGACGCCAACGACGAAGGAGGAAGGACGGCGACGCCGACGACGACAACGACGAGGGAGGAGGGAAGACGACGACGACGACAGCGACGACGAAGACGACGACGACGGCGACGGAATAGGAGGGACGACGACGAGAGGCCGACGACGGACGACGACGACGAGGGAGGAGGATAACGACGAGGGAGGAGTGACGACCACGACGACGACGACGACGACGACGACGGCGACGAAATAGGAGGGACGACGACGAGAGGCCGACAAAGATAACGAGGGAGGAAGGACGACCACGGCGACAACGACGACGGAAGCGACGACGACGCCAAGACGACGACGACGACGAGGAAAGACAGAAGACGACGACGGCGACGACGACGACGACGCGGGAGGAGGGAGGACGACGACGACGACGACGCAAGAGCGCGCGCGCGCACACTTTTGTTGAAAACCCCTGTTGCGAAACCTTGTGTTTTTGTATGTTTTTGGACGCACGATTCCGAAATCCTTCCGAAACCTAGGGTTTTTAAAGGATTTCGGCATGCGCCCGCGACGACGCGCGCGTCTGCACTTCGTCGTATTTTTTTGCAGAGGATTCTCGCGACGGCACACGCGCAAAAGCGTTCGACAGATTTCGACATGCGCGCGCGCGCGAAGCCGCTTTGGTAGCATTTTGTGAAAATCTTGGAACACCTATGGTTTTCTTCAGATTTCGCGAGAGCGCGCGCGGAAGCTTTTTTAGCAAATCAGTGTTGCGAAACTATATGCTTTTGTATGTTTTTTGACAATTCAATTTTGAAAATTCTCCAGAACCGAAGGTTTTTGAAGGATTTCGGCATGCGCGCGCGACGACGCGCGCGTGTGCACTTCGTCTCATTTTTGCAATGGATTCGTGAACAAGTGCTATGTTAGAGCAAACAATGTCACCGCATAGTATTTTCTACAAGGGAACCTCAGGGGGGGGGAAACCGGCCTGCCTGGGATGAAATAATTTTATAATTAGGATGGACGAGTGTGCAGAATATATGTATATATATATACATACACATATATGTGTGTAGATATACATATATATATATATATATATATATATATGAAATTATACGATCCCTGGGGGAAGCGTTAAGCCCGGGGGGGTAGGGTCTATTCTTTTTTAGAAAGGAGAATTGACTACCCTGCTCCGCGCCTGACCACCTCCACTGCTCGCGCAAACATCCCACCCACCCACCCGCAACTTGGTCGCAAGACTTCTTAAGACAAGACCGTGACGGTAGGTCCCACATGGCACTTGGCCACGACACCGACGCCGACGATGACAGCGACAACGACGACGACGACGGCGCCGCCGACACCGACTACGACGACACCACCGACGTCGACGTCGACGAAGACGACGACGACGCCGACGCCGACGACGACGACGAAGATGACGACGACGTCGCCAACGAAGACGACGACGATGGAGGAGGGAGGACGACGACGGCGACAACGACGACAACGACGATGGAGGAGGGAAGACGGCGACGACGCCAACGACGAGGAAGGAGGAAGGACGGCGACGCCGACGACGACAACGACGAGGGAGGAGGGAAGACGAAGACGACGACAACGACGACGAAGACGACGACGACGGCGACGAAATAGGAGGGACGACGACAAGACGCCGACGACGGACGACGACGACGACGAGGGAGGAGGATAACGACGAGGGAGGAATGAAGACGACGACGACGACGACGGCGACGAAATAGGAGGGACAACGACGAAACGCCGACGAAGACAACGAGGGAGGAAGGACGACCACGGCGACAACGACGACGGAGGCGACGACGACGCCAAGACGACGACGACGAACACGAGGAAACACAGAAGACGACGACGGCGACGACGACGACGACGACGACGACGAGGGAAGAGGGAAGACGACGACGACGCAAGAGCGCGCGCGCACGCTTTGTTGAAAACCCCTGTTGCGAAACCTTGTGTTTTTGTAGGTTTTTTGGACGCACGATTCCGAAATCCTTCCGAAACCGATGGGTTTTGAAGGATTTCGGCGTACGCGCGCGACGACGCGCGCGTCTGCACTTCGCCCTATTTTTTTCCAGAGGATTCTCGCGACGGCACACGCGCAAGGGCGTTCGACTGATTTCGACATGCGCGCGCGACGCCCGTTTGGTAGCATTTTGTAAAAATCTTGAAAAACCAATGGTTTTGTTCAGATTTCGCAAGAGCTCGCGCGGAAGCTTTTTTATCAAATCACTGTTGCGAAACCATGTGTTTTGCATGCTTTTTGGAAACTCGATTGCGAAATCCTTCCGGCACCGCAGGTTTTTGAAGGATTTCGGCATGCGCGCGCGACGACGCGTGCGTGTGCACTTCGTCCCATTTGTTGCAAGATATTCGTGAAACATGTTATGTTAGGACCAAAAATGTCACCGCAGTGTTTGTTACAAGGGAACCTCAGGGGGGGGGAACCTGCCTGCCTGGGATGGTATGATTTCATAATTAGCATGGACGAGCACTCCATACATATAATTTCATATATATATATATATATATATATATATATATATGAAATTATACTGTCCCGGGGGAAGCGTTAAGTCCGGGGGGGGGGGTAGAGTCTGTTCTCTTTTTAGAAATGAGAATCTGGGGTGTCATTCACTCCGCCGATATTGAGCCTGTCAGCTCAACTGCTCACGCAATCATCTCACCCACTCTCCCGCAATTTGGTTTGCCACACCCATGCGGCTGCGATTGCGATGACTGCTTGGCGATGGCTGGCGCATCGCTGTGGCCGCGCTAGCGCGCAGGCTCGCGCGCAGATCGGCCAGTTAGTCCGGCGCGACCGACGCGGCCGCGGTGGCGCTGACCGCTGGAGACCCCCCAACGCGTCTCCCATGCCGCGCTGGTGCGTGGTGACTTCAGTGCCAGTCGGTGACGCGGCGCGGTACCATGGACACGTTGACAACAAGAGCCCCTGTGATGAGAATAGCGATGCTGGGGACGAGGATGGCGATGACGACGGCGAGGACCATGATGGCGCCGATGCTGATCACGCCGATGACGATGATCGTGTCCACGTGTCGGTGATGAAGTTTTTTTGGAGGGTCTTCGACATGCGCGCGCGGCCAAAGGGCGCGAGTGGCCCGCATGGTGTTATTTGACAAGGATCGTGCCCGCCTCCTCCCCCCAACACGCGCGCAAAGGCGTCACGGAGCCGCCAGACCGCCAGATAAGCCCAGACGACAGGCGGCGACGGCGAGCACGGAGCCGCCAGACTGCCAGGCAGGCCCAGACGACGGGCGGCGACGAGGCGGCGACGGGCGGCGACGGCGAGCACGGAGACGCCAGACCGCCAGACAGGCTTAGATGACGGGTGGCGACGAGGCGGTGACGGCGAGCACGCAGCCGCTAGACCGCCAAACAGGCCCAGATTCTCAAAATAGAAATAAGAGCCCCTGAGTGCAAGCACTATTTGGGGGAACGCTGCATCCCGCTGATGGCGAGATACGCCCAAGCCGACGCCCTTTCTGGAACGCCCAACCTGGCGCACGGTGCCGCCTCCCCCAGAAAAAGGCCAGCCCCAGCCCTCCAGAGGCGCGTCCACGATCCTGACGTTCTCCTGCCTGACCGCCTCCAGGGAAATGCGGGAGGTAGGGAGGGAAGGAGGGGAAGGGGGAGGGAGCGGAAGAGGGATGTGAGGGAGGAGGGCCAGCGGACACAACGGCGTCCCTGCCTAGCGTTTTGAAACATGGCGGGGCCTTCTGGATGCTTCTCGTCGCCACGTCTCTCCCTCTCCTCCCTTTTCCTCCCTGCCCCGTGCTCCTCTCGCTTGGGAGGGTGGGCGGTCGGACCAAGAGTACCCTCCCTTGCGTCCCGGGGCGAGCGCCTCCGGCAGGACGGCGCGCAGGCCGCTGCAGCGCCGAGCACAACCGACCGATCCCTGAGATCTGGACTAGCGAAACATCGAAACATCGTCCGGCATCCCCGTTGGGAACGAATCGCGACGCCAATGCTCCAGACTTTTTCTCCCGCTCAGACAGCGCACGGGGGGGGCGATGCGGCCGAGCAACAAGTCGACGCCCGCGCTACCGATCGCGAAGACCAGGGCTCCCTCCTGCCGCCGTCGGGCGCGCGCCTGGACCGAGGTCGGCGAGGCTTTCCCCAGAGCAGGGAGGAACCGAAGGCAATTGGCGGCCAGGGGGTCTGAACTGGTTGGAGCCCCAGGAAGACTGTCCGTCAGGAAAGGAGATGCAGCCACAACGGCTCAAACTCGGTCCCCGGAGCCCTCCCGGGGCCCACCTGGTGCCACCTTGCACCCCGTAACCGTCGTGGACGGTCCTGGGGCTCGAACACGGCCCCCGGAGGTCCACAGGGGAAAGGACAGTTTGCCGGGCAACTAGAGGGGGGGACTGGCTCAGGGGGAGAAACTTCGACCTGGACTCGGCGATCAATGGGCAATTGGGTGTGGACACTTTCCCCCCTGAGCCTGTCCCCCCCCCCATGCGTTGCTCCTGAAAAATGGGGCATCGGCAGGAGATGGAGGGGAATCACCCTGACATCCGCCGATCTGATTGCCCAAGTCCGCGGCCCCAGGGAGGTCCCGACCGCTTCCCTGGGCTCAGTCCTTCGCGCCGGGACGGGGGCCAGAAAAAAAGGCCCCCAGGGGCCGAAACCAATGACAAACTGCCAGACTGAACGCGTCAGATTGCCAGGGCACTGGGTAGTACGCCACCTCCTCCCCCCCCTCTCTCTCTCCTCCCCGCCCCTCCATCCTGCCTCTGCTTCCTCCCCTCCCTCCCTCCCTCCCTCCCTCCCTCCCTCCCTCTTCTTCGACTCTCCTCCCTCTCCTCCCCCGCCTCCCTTTCCTCTCTCCCCTTCCCTCACCCTCCCTCTTCTCCCCCCCCCCCTCTTGCTTCTCTCCTTCCACCACACAGGGCCTTCGGCTCGTCGGCGCCGAACCGCACGACCACCCGCTCGCCCTGGACGGACTCCACTCGCCCGCGCGCGCCGTTGAGCGCCGCGCCCGCGGCCAGCGAGTGGGCCTCCACGGTCTTTCCTGCGCGGACGGCTCGTCGCCGTCGCTGTCGCCGTCGTCGTCGCTATGCTCCCTCCCACCCTCTCTCCTTCCCTCCCTCCTTTCTCGTCAACGTCCTCCTGCTCCGAGGCCTTCTCCTCCTCCTTACCCCAAGGCCCTGACGCCAATGATCACCATGTACGTTCGGACCCCCCCCGGTTAGACTGGACCAAACAACAACGCCGACATGCTGTTCAAGATCGACAAGTCTTCCGTGCTCGCCTGAGTGTATGCCGCGCGGACGTGCCTTAGTGCGTATAGTTTTCCTTTCCTCTACTTTTCTCCTCCGCGTCCCTACTCCCTCCTTGTCGTTCTTTATCTCCTCCTCCTCCTCCTCGCCCTCGCCCTCGCCCCGGCGAGGAGGAGGAGGAGGAGGAGGAGGAGGAGGAGGAGGAGGAGGAGGAGGAGGGGAAGGAGGAGGGGGAGGAGGAGGAGGAGGAGGAGGAGGAGGAGGAGGAGGAACGAGGAGGAGGAGGAGGAGGAGGAGGAGGAGGAGGAGGAGGAGGCCGATTACGACGACAAGGAGGAGGAGGAGGAGGAGGAGGAGGAGGAGGAGGAGAGGAGGAGGAGGAGGATGGAGGAGAGGAAGAGGAGGAGGAGGAGGAGGAGGAGGAGGTGGAGGAGAAGAAGGCTTGGGTTGGTTCCAAAAGGCTGAAGGAGGAGAGGAGGAGGAAGGAGGAGGAGGAGGAGGAGGAGGAGGAGGAGGAGGGAGGAGGAGGAGGAGGAGGAGGAGGAGGAGGAGGAGGAGGAGGAGGAGGAGGAGGAGAGGAGGACGATGGAGGAGAAGAAGGACGACGACGACGACGACGACGACGACGACGACGACGACGACGACGACGACGACGACGACGACGACGACGACGACGACGAGAGGAGGCGTCTGCTTCCTCTCGTCGATGGAGGGAGGACACCTCTTGCAGAGCGGGCCCCCCGCCCAGAACGCTGTGCCCGCGGGGGGGCGCTCGCCGCCGGGGACGAATGCTTGCGGGGACTGGCCCTGGCAAAAGCCACATCTGCAGGGTGGGCCCCTTCTTTTTGTCTTCGGGGTCTGTGGGCTCTGCTCCGACCCTGAGCTCAGGGGAGGCTGCAGCACCGCTCAACGATGTGCTGTCCACCCAAACCTGCAGGGTGGGCGCCCTCTTTCTGTCTGTGTCCTTCAGATCTGGCTTCGGCTTCGGCCGTGGGTGCACCGTGCAGCGCCTTCGGGCCAGCTCGCACGGGTGCTCCCCTCCCCTCCCCTCCCCTCCTCTTTGGGGAGCGGCTGGCGTGTCGCCTCGGAGGGCCGGCCTTTTCGGGGGATGATCCGGCGATGGGGGTCTGGCGTGGGTCGCCCGAGGGCGACGATTGCCAAAAGCATGCTGTCGTGATTTCAGATGGCGATGGTTTTTCCCCAATCAGTGCTTGCGCTGAAGGGGTGCTAGCGGAACTTGAAACATTTCCCGCCGATTCTGGTAACAAAATGGGTTCCCGGGTTTCTGGCTTCCGGTTCCCGGGTTCCCGGCTGTTGGCTCTGGGCCGACTTCGGTGGCTTCTGGGTTCCCCGGCTCTCGGGCTCCTGGTCGATCTCCTCAGCGAAAACCATCCACTGCTTGAGGCTTTTCTTTGGTGTAATTTGCCATTCTTCGCCACAGCGCCCTTGACCAGCTACCCCCCCCCCCTACTGTGGCTACGCCACGAGTCGCGCCGGCGCCGTGCAGACACCGCCATTCCTAACCAAGCGGCGCCCGCGCGAGAATCGTGACGTGACCTGGCAAGCCCCCTCCCCCTCCCCCTCCACGATTACGCAATATGAATACTACTCTCCTCTCTCCCCTGATGACGTCCGGGATATGTTCGGCCCCCCCTCCGCGCATTGCTTTTTTACACACTGGATTCCTGGGAGTTGGATTTTCGCTTGGTGTTTTTCACAATGTTGCTCTCGCTGCAGCGCTGGCTTCATTTTCGGGCTTCCGCTCGTTCCGACTCGTGCTCCCGCTGCAGCGCTGGCCTCATGTCCGCGCTTCCGCTCGTTCCGAATCGTGTTCCGGCTGCAACTCTGGGAGTCGTGCTCCCGCTGCAGCACTGGCATAATTGTCCCACCAGCCCTCTGGGCGTAGGTGGTTTAGGGAGTTTCCTCTTCAGCCCGCCCTCTTCCCCTTCGGGGAGGGGTTTACCCCTCCTTTTACCCCCTCCCCTGGACCTGGACGGGGCCTGTCGCGAGTGGTCAGGACGTCCAAAACGGCCTCGGCGAGGAAGCCAAAATCATTAGTTTCACTATGGTGTTGGCCCCATTTGGCCTTTTTTTTTGGGGGGGGGGGGGGGGGGGGGCGATGTTAAAAAAAGCTCCTCTCTTGTTTGATCGATCTCCTCCAAGATGGCCCCAAGAGGCGCCCAGGAGGCCCCAAGAGGTCCCGAGATGATGCCAAGATGGCCCCAAGATGGCCCTCAGAGGCACCCAAGAGGCCCCCAGGAGGCCCCCAAGAGGACCCCAAGCGGCCCCAAGAGGCCCCCCCGCGGCACCCAAGACGCCAAAGAGCCCCGCCAAGAGAACCCCAAGACGTCCCAAGAGACCACCAAGAAGCGCCCAAGAGATACCATACGAGGCTCCGAGAGGCATCCAACAGGCCTCTGGCCCTTTTGCTTGCCCTCCTCCTCCTGCTCCTCCTCCCTCCTCCTACTCCTTCTCTTCCTCCTCCTCCTCCTGCTCCTCCTCCTTCACATCCTATTCATTCTCCTTCTCCCCACTCCCTCATCCATCCATCCAGCCTCCTCGGTCTCCTCCTCCCTCCTTCGCACGGTTCGGTCGTCCCCCTTTTTGCTCCCGCACTTCCCTGATCACCTCAACTTGCCTGGACATAGTTTCTGGATGGGCTGGTGGGGATACGCGAAGAGCCTAGAATTTCCAGTGCCATACCACGGCATGCAATGCAATGCTGTGGTGTTCCGCTATGCGATGTCATGCCTTCAGCTGCAACGCTGAGATATGCGAGGCTTGACTACGCAGTGCCACGCGATGCTGTGCCATGCTACGCTTTGATCTTCAACTCCATGCTATGCCATGTTATGTTCTGTGCCACTGTGCGATGTCAATGCTTTGTGATGGAATTCTTCACTACGCAACGCCAGGCCATGTTATGACATACTTTTCCCTGCCGTGCTCTTCTACGCCCTGCTATGCCCCTCTCGGGATAATTGCCCTGCTCGACATCCGACTGTGCGAATAAAGAGATCTAATTACGCCATGGTAAGGGATGGGAGGACAGGGTAGGACGTCAGATATGACGCGACCGCACCCCCTCCCCCTCCCCCCCTCCCGCTCACGCCCGTTCGCGCCAGGGGATAAAAAACTACACCAGAGAGAAAACCCAATCAATGGATCGTTGTCGCTGTGGAGATCGACAGGGAACCCGGGGGCCCAAGAACCCAAAAGATACCGAAATCGGCCCGGAGCCAATAACCGGAAACCCGGGAACCCGGAGCCAGGAACCCGGGAACCCAGCCTGCTACCAAAATCGGTGGGAAATTTCCGCCAAATCCTTCAACTTCCGCTAGGACCCCTTCAGTGCAAGCACTGATTGGGGAATTACCCTGTGACGTACCCAATCCTTTCTATACATGTGGCAATTATACTCAGGACCACTCAATGCTGTCTGGCATTCTGAAGGACCCGCAGTGCGCAAGAAGAGTACCCAACAGTGATTTCAGAAGAGCGCAGCAAGAAGAGGAACGGCAACTATACACAATGGAAACACAGGGGCGTTGAACAAACAACGCGTACGACGTACCTCCGAATGATCCACGTAGGACGTACCTCCGCTGGGCCTCCCAGGAGCCTACGAAAGAGGCGACAGTTGCGCAGATCGCAAGCCCCCCAGGGGGCGGCGAGCTACCGCGGTGATCCGCGTGGGACCCACCTCCGCTGGGCCTCCCAGGAGCCCACGAAAGCGGCGATGGTTGCGCAGATCGCAAGCCGCCCAGGGGGCGGCGAGGTGCCGAGGTGATTCGCGTGGGACCCACCTCCGCTGGGCCCCCCAGGAGCCCACGAAAGTGGCGACGGTGTCGCAGATCGCAAGCCCCCCAGGGGGCGGCGAGGTCCCGAGGTGATCTGCGTGGGACCCACCTCCGCTGGGCCTCCCAGGAGCCCACGAGCGAACAATTGCGCAGATCGCAAGCTCCCCAGGGGGCGGCGAGGTACCGAGGTGATCCGCGTGGGACGTACCTCCGCTGGGCCTCCCAGGAGCCCACGAAAATGGCGGCAGTTGTGCAGATCGCAGCCCCCCAAGCACCACGAGGTCTCGAGGTGGTCCGCGTGGAACCCACCTCCGCTGGGCCTCCCAGGAGTCCACGAGAATGGCGACAATTGCGCAGATCGTAGCCTTCAAGGCACCGCGAGGTCTCGAGGTGGTCCACGTGGGACCCACCTCCGCTGGGCCTCCCAGGAGCCCACGAAAATGGCGACAATTGCGCAGATCGCAAGCCCCCCAGGGGACGGCGAGCTACCGCGGTGATCCGCGTGGGACCCACCTCCGCTGGGCCTCCCAGGAGCCCACGAAAGTGGCGACAATTGCGCGCAGATCGCAAGCCCCCCAAGCACCGCGAGGTCTCGAGGTGGTCCGCGTGGGACCCACCTCCGCTGGGCCTCCCAGGAACCCACGAAAGTGGGGACAATAGCAGAGATCGCAGCCTCCAAAGCACCGCGAGGTCTCGTGGTGGTCCGCGTGGGACCCACCTCCGCTGGGCCTCCCAAGAGCCTACGAAAATGGCGACGATTGCGAAGATCGCAACCCCTCAGGGCACCGCGAGGTCTCGAGGTGATCCGCGTGGGACCCACCTCCGCTGTGCCTCCCAGGAGCCTACGAAAGTGGCGGCAGTTGCGCAGATCGCAAGCCCCCCAAGGCGCGGTGAGGTGCCGAGGTGATCCGCGTGGGACCCACCTCCGCTGGGCCTCCCAGGAGCCCACGAAAATGGCGACAATTGCGCAGATCGCAAGCCCCCCAGGGGACGGCGAGCTACCGCGGTGATCCGCGTGGGACCCACCTCCGCTGGGCCTCCCAGGAGCCCACGAAAGATGCGACGGTTGCGCAGATCGCAAGCCGCCCAGGGGGCGGCGAGGTCCCGAGGTGATCCGCGTGGGACCCACCTCCGCTGGGCCTCCCAGGAGCCCACGAAAGTGGCGACGGTGTCGCAGATCGCAAGCCCCCCCAGGGGGCGGCGAGCTACCGAGGTGATCCGCGTGGGACCCACCTCCGCTGGGCCTCCCAGGAGCCCACGAAAGTGGCGACAGTTGCGCAGATCGCAAGCCCCCCAGGGGGCGGCGAGCTACCGAGAAGATCCGCATGGGACCCACCTCCGCTGGGCCTCCCAGGAGCCCACGAAAGTGGCGACGGTTGCGCAGATCGCAAGCCCCCCAGGGGGCGGCGAGCTACCGAGGTGATCCGCGTGGGACCCACCTACGCTGGGCCTCCCAGGAGCCCACGAAAGTGGCGACAGTTGCGCAGATCGCAGCCCGACGGCACGAGAGAAGAGGAGAGGGGAGCACAAGAGACAGGAGAGGAGGAGCGAAGGAGGGGGGAGGAGGAGAAGGAGGACGGGGCGACCACACTGCTCTATTCAAAAAGAGTACCCAACCATAGGAGGGTTGGGAAAAAAACAGCGTCATCTGAGATCACGACAAGATGCTTTTGGCACTCGTTGCCCTTGGGCGGCCCACGCCAGACCCCCATCGCCGGACCATCCCCCGAAAAGGCCGGCCCTCCGAGGCGACACGCCGGCCGCTCCCCAAAGAGGAGGGGAGGGGAGGGAAGCACCCGTGCGAGCTGGCCCGAAGGCGCTGCACGGTGCACCCACGGCCGAAGCCGAAGCCAGATCTGAAGGACACAGGCAGAAAGAGGGCGCCCACCCTGCAGGTTTGGGCTGACGGCACATCGTTGGAGCGGTGCTGCAGCCTCCCCTGAGCTCCGGGTCGGAGCAGAGCCCACAGACCCCGAAGACAAGAAGAAGGGGCCCACCCTGCAGATTTGGCTTTTGCCAGGGCCAGTCCCCGCAAGCATTCGTCTCTGCTGCGGGAGGCGCCCCTCGCCTTCAGCGGCGAGCGCCCCCTCGCACATCGTTGAGCGGTGCTGCAGCCTCCCCTGAGCTCAGGCCCCCTCCCCGGAGCATCGGCCGGAGAGGGGTCGAGAGCAGAGCCCACAGACCACCTGCGTGTGAAATGCACAGGTTTCAGTGGCAGGCGCGTATTTACTGTCAGAAGGCTCCACGTTTCCAGAGGTCCAAATTTCTCTCGATGAGCAGTTGCGGCTTTCAGTCCCGGCGCATTGAAACAAACACGACGTCGGAGGTCTCGGCTCCCCCGTCCCGGCTCCTTTCCTGGTCGTCGTGCCGTCGTCGTCGTCGTCGTAGTCCTCCTTCCCCTGCTCGTCGTCGTCCTCGCCGTCGTTCTCCCTCCTCCAGTCCGATCCCTGTAGTTATGGGAGCTGACAAAGACCGCCTGGCGGCCCGAGAAGAGCGAGACACGTCAAACTCCTTCTTCTCGTCGTCATAATCGTTCTCGTCATCTTTGTCGTCCATTTTATCCTCCGGTGTCTCGTCTTTTCTCCCACTCCGAATCCTCCTCAAACTCCTCCTTCTCATCCTCCTCCTTCTCCTCCTCTTCCTCCTCCACTCCACGATCTCGTCGTCGTCGGCGTCGTCTTCCTCGTCTTCCTTGAGCTCGTCGTTGTCGTGACCATCGCCGCCGTCTGGGACCTCCTCCTGGGGCTAATCCAGGCCAACTTCCCAAGCTGCGTTCAGCCGTGGCGACGAGAAAACCAGAACCTGGTAAAACACACCTCAGCGCCTCTCTGACAAGGCCTCCACTGACGTGCACTTGGGCCAGCGACCGAGCGAACACAAACCCTCCCCGACGTCGGCAACGCTGCTGCACGGCCAGAAAGAGGCCCTGAAGCGGCAACTCCCGGCAGATTTCCGAAGTGCCCGTTGGAGGAGGAGGAGGAGGAGGAGGAGGAGGAGGCGGTGGAGGAGGAGGAGGAGGAGGAGGAGGAGGAGGAGGGAGGAGAGGAGGAGGAGGAGGAGGAGGAGGAGGAGGAGGAGGAGGAGGAGGAGGAGGAGGAGGAGGAGGACCTGTTGCGGTGCCGCTAAATCCCACGCGGCAGCGACAGCCCGAGACATCCGACGTCTTCAAATCTCTCTCCCAGTGCGCGGACGCCCCGACCCTGGCCCCCAATAGCCGAACATACCCGCCACGGTGCCGACCCCTCTCGCCCCAGGTCCACTGCCGTCCGCGAAGGCAGAACACTGCGAACCCTGACATCCGCCGATATGGTATTTTCAATACGTGGCCCCATGTATATATATAGATACACGATAAATTCCCATATGATATTTCCGATCTAATTTTATGATATTTTCAACCCCCCTCGGGGATCGACTGACCTGGGTCAATCCCGACCCGGGTCAGTCAGTCTCTGCAAGATCCTGCAGGATCCTGCACGCAGGCCCCGGTCAGCGAACCCCTGGCTCGGCAAGGTCCTGCAAGATCTGGCGCTGGCTGACCCCCGTTTGCATTGACCCCCGTCTCTTGAGCCCCGAGTCCCGACCCTTCGCCTTCCCCGGGGGGTAGCTTCTCGCCCCGGATCCATTTGTGATCGTACTTGGAAGCCGAAATCGAGCAGCGCCCAGACTGAACCCACTGTAATTACCGTCGGAGATCTGGGAAGAGCCTCTGGATATGTCTTTTGGAGACTTCGGATGTCTGGGACGACGTCGGTCGCCGCCGTCGTCGCCGATCCCCGGCGGGGCGCTCCGACGAAGGCGGCCTCGGCCGCCAGGTGGTGCAGCATCTGCGGGACGCGGCGGCGCCCACAGGCGATGGGGATTGAGTATCGGGGTCCGAACAACGAGGGTCAACACCCAAAGATCGAGATCCAGGTTCGAACATGAGGATCGAGGATCGGGGTGGGATCATCGAAGATCAGAACTTGAAGGTCGAAATTTAGGGCGACGCGCGAATCGCGATCATCTTCGCGCCCCCGCGGGTGGCCTCTAGATGGTCGAGAGTGCGCCATACTGGGTGTCCTTGCCTCTGTCTAGACCTCTGCAGAGCATCTGGCGACCTCCGAAGGCCTGCTGGAACCCTCGGGGCCTTCCGGGAACCTCTCTCCGGCGGCCTCCTGCAACCTCCGGGGCCTCCCAGGAGCCTTTGCTGGAGACCTCTGGGGGCGTCCGTGGACATCCAGACCCCTCTGGAAGCCCTCCAGAGACCTCTGGAGGTTCGACACGGTGTTTTCTGCTCGGGGGGGCGCTTCCTGGGGCCTCCCCTGTGGCCACGGCTGAACCCGCCTTACGCATCTGGGCAACGTGCACTCCCCGAGAGGTCTAGGGGGTCGGAGGCGGCCGGGAGGTCTGAATTTGCTGCGATCCCAGAACATCGGTCGGGATGGGCGGATGAGGTCGAATCGGATCAAAGGTCCCCGGACCCCTCCCGGGGTCCATCTGGTGCAATCTTTCACCCGGGATGCGTTTTTGGCTGTCCCACGGCCCGAAGAGGCCCCGGGAAGCAGAAAAAGGCAGAACAAAAAAAACGCCACTAGCTCAAGACCTTGAGCCTTGCCCCCCGTCCTGCTGGCCAGAACCATAGCTGGGACACCTCAGACCCCCAACTGGCTCCAACCAAGGGCTGATTTTCAAAAGGAGGACGGAGGAGGAGGAGGAGGAGGAGGAGGAGAAAGAGGATGAGAAAGAGGAGGAGACAGAGGAGGAGGAAGAGGAGGAGACAGATGAGGAGGAGCATCCAGGAGAAGGAGGAACATCTAGGACGGGGATCAGGCATGACGAGAGACAGTAGGAACATAAAGGAGCAGAGGGGGGGCGAGGAGCGGGAGCGGGGGCACAGGGGGCCCACACCTCCGACGGCGTGACTAATTATTTCATTGCGGGGTCCCCGCAGATGTCCCGTCCCCTCCCCAGAGGCTGGCCTTTCATCTCGAAGCGCTCTGTGCAGCGGGGCCCAGGGAGGCACGCATCAATCGAGACGACTTCTCGGATTGAAGGTATGTGTCAATATCTCCTGGATGTTCCTGCTCCCCTGCAGTTCCTATCGTTTCCCATCTTTGCATCAACATCAACGCGAATGTGTGTCAGTGTATTTTTCCCCTCCTGACTGTGACTGTCGCGGAGCCAAAGAACGGCTTCTGGACGCCGAACATTGACAACAACCCTCGGCTTGTTCGAACACCTTGGATGCCTGGGCCATCCGGATTCCCTCCCGAAATGCCCAAAGACCCCGGAGGTCTCTGGAGGCCCCGGATAAGACCGACAACGTGTTAAACCCTAAGTCCTCGAAGCTCGATTGTCGACCCTCCCCAGTTCCCAGAACCTCGACGACGTGATGTTTCACAAGGTGTACCCCCTGGACCGCTTCCGCGGTACCAAATCTTTACCCTGAACATTTGTTTGACGGTCCCAGGGCCCAGTGAGGGCCGCAGGAGTTAGAAAACTACTAAAAAAACTCACGTCGCCATCTTCCACGAAACAGTACGACTGCGACGAGCAGAATGAGGTGCCTGACCCATGAAGAAAGGCACCAACTCGTCCTTCTGGCCATGGATGATGCTGACGCGCCAGCCGGCCTGGCATAACAAATGAGAACCCCCCCTGCACTCCCACCTCCTTGTCCTCCTCCCTTTCCTCCTCCCCCGCCTCGTTCCGGAATATCTAACGGCTCTCGTTTCTGGAGAAGCTGCGGAGTCATACGGAATCTCGAGAATCTGGGACACCTAACTAATATTGGAACGCACTACTGACATTATGTCTGATCCTTCTGACGGTTGTCGTCCTGGTAGCTGGGGCCACCATATCGCCTCCGCCGCCGTCGTCGTCGCTATCGTCGTCCTCGTAGCTGTCGCCGCATGTCGCACCCATCCCTGACATACGCCGATCTGTTTTTGTTTCAACCCGCGGCCCCAGAAGTCCCGAGCCCTTCCCCGGGCGGATTTTTTCGCGCTTTGATGGCCCCAGGGCCCGACAACGCCCCCCAGGAGCGGACATTTAAGGAGACCGCCCGGATAAAAAACAGATCGTCGTATGTCAGGGTCTGTGCACGGCCGACGACACGACGTGGCTTAGACTCTTGTTCTGGGGACTTTCCTGGAGCCACTCGCTCCACTCACGCGTTGAGGCTGCACCGTCCGTCGCCTCGAACCGAACTTGAATCGACCATGAGTCGCGCTGAAATGGGTACAGTGACCAACAACAAATGCTGTCCAAAACCGACAGCGGCCGCTCTTGGGCAGGCGGCCTTCTGCCTCGAGAGGGCAACGGCCGCGGCGGCGCCGACAAAGGGCCGTGCTCAACAGGGGCACGAAGTGCTGTCGGTCCCCGTGCCCGTTCTCTCCGTACCCCTTCCGACCGTGCCGAATACAGCCGGACCTGTGAGAGAAGAAAGTCCTCCCAAAACACAGAGACCATCCACGGGCCAAAACACAGAGACCATCCAAGGGCACCCTCCCCATGGATGCACGAGAACATCCAACACACACAGACACACACAGACACACACACAGACACACACACAGACACATACACACACAGACACACACACACAGGCACACACAGACACACACAGACACACACACAGACACACACACACAGACACACACACACAGACAAACACAGACACACACACAGACACACACACAGACACACACACACAGAGACAGAGACAGACGCAGACACAGGCACACAGACACAGGCACACAGACACAGGCACACAGACACAGGCACACAGACACAGGCACACAGACACAGGCACACACACAGGCACACAGACACAGGCACAGGCACATAGACACAGGCACACCGACACACACACACAGACACACCCACAGACACACACACAGACACCCACAGGCACACACAGACACACACAGACGCACACACCAGCACACACACACAGACACACACAGACACACACACAGACACACAGGAGCACACACAGAGCCACACACACACAAACACACACAGACAAACCCACAGACACACCCACAGACACAAACACAGACACACACAGACACAGACACACACACACAGACACACACGCAGACACACACACACACAGACACACACACAGACACACACACACACAGATACACACAGATACACACAGACATACACAGACACACACAAGCACACACCCACCCACCCGCACACACACACCCACACACACCCACACACACACCCACACTCACCCACACACACACACACCCACACACACAGACACACACGCGAAACAAATTAGGGTACTCTCCCCGCTCCGACCTCAATCTTGTACCTCGGCCCTCGGGCATCTACTGACCAAGGTCGATCCAAACCCGGGTCAGGCGGGCCTTGCGGAATCCTGCGTCCTGCAAGGTCCTGCAGGATCCTGCATGCAAGCCAGGGTCAATGCGCCCCTGGCTTTGCAGGATCCTGAAAGGTCCGGCACTCTGCCTGACCCACATTTGCATTGACCCCCGTCTCTTGAGCCCCGAGGCCAGCGATGAGGATCGATTTCTGGGGAGGAGGAGGAGGACGAGGTGGAGGTGGAGGGGAAGGGGGATGGGGAGGAGGAGGAGGAGGAGGAGGAGGAGGAGGAGGAGGAGGAGGAGGAGAGAGGAGGTGGAGGGTGAGGAGGAGGAGGAGGAGGTGGAGGAGGAGGAGGAGGAGGAGGAGGGGGAGGAGGAGAAGAACGAGGAAGAGGAGGAGGGAGGAGAGAAGGAGAAGGAGGAGAAGGAGGAGAAGGAGAAGGGAGGAGAGAATAGGAGGAGAGGAGGAGTGGGAGGAGGAGGAGGAAGAGAGGAGGAGGGGGAGGTGGAGGGTGAGGAGGAGAGTGAGGAGGGGAGGAGGAGGAGGAGGAGGAGGAGGGGAGGAGGAGGAGGAGTAGGAGAGGAGGAGGGAGGAGGAGAAGGAGGGGCGGATAAGGAGGAGGGGGAGGAAAGGGAGGAGGGAGGAGGAGGAGGAGGAGGGGGAGGAGGAAGAGGGAAGGAGGAGGAGGAGGAGGAGGAGGAGGGCGGGGCGGAGGCGGAGGGGAGGAGGAGGGAGGAGGAGGAGGAGGAGGATGGGGTGGAGGAGGAGGAGGAGGAGGGGGAGGAGGCGGAGGAGGGAGGAGGAGGTGGGAGGAGGAGGAGGAGGAGGAGGAGGAGGAGGAGGAGTAGGAAGAGAGGAGGAGGAGGAGGAGGAGGAGGAGGAGGAGGAGGAGGAGGAGGAGGAGGAGGGGAGGAGGAGGCGAAGGATGAGGGTGAGGAGGAGGAAGAGGCGATTTTGATCGGGCCGCATATCGCTGGCGTCCGCCCGCCGCCTTGGCGGCCTCCGGCACCCGGGCGTGGTTGCGCCACTGGTGGGGCACCAGCCAGTGCAGCACGGGCGGGAAGCAGGGCCGCAGCGGCTCGGGCAGCAGGCCTGGCGCGGGCCGGGTGGTGCTGCTGCTCCCCCATGCTGCTCCTCCTCCTCCCTGTGCTGCTCCGCCTCCTCTTCCTCCTCCTCCTCTCTCTCCTCCTTCCTCCTCCTCCTCGCCCTCTTTCCCTCCTCTTCCCTCTCGTCCTCCCTTTCCTCCCCTCCACCCCCCTCCTCCTTCCTCCTATCCTCCTCCACCTCCTTTTCCTCCTCTTCTTCCTCATTCCCCCATCCCCCTTCTTATCCTCCTCCGCCTCCTCCTCGTATTCTTCGTCTTCTTCGTCTTCTTGTTGTTGTTGTCGTTGTTGCTGTTGTTGTTGTTGCTGATGTTGTTGTTGTTGTTGAGCATTATTTCTTCTTAAGAATAATTGTTGTTGGGGCCCCTGGTGCGCGACCCCCCCGCCGCGCCTAGGCCGCAGCCTCATTTTCATCATTTGCGTGAGGAAGTCTCAGGTAAAACAATGTCATCCAGATCCGGTTGTGTTGTTACGATCGGTTTTCCCTTGCAAACAATAAGCTAAAGTGGACATTTCTTGTTCTAACATAACCAAACTTCAAGAATCCCTTGCAAAAAATAAGGTAAAGTGGACATTCGCGCGCGCAAGACGAAATCCTTCCAAAACCTTAGTTTTCGTAGCGATTTTAACATAAAAACATAAAAAAAACCAATGGTTTTTTTTTCAAAAAAAAATGTCAAAATTCATCCCGCGCGCTCTTGCGGATTCGTAGGAAACCCAACACTTTTTAAACATTTCTGTCAAACGGGCTTTTGCGAGCAACTTTTTCGAACTTCTGCAACAACGGTTGCGCACCTGCCAGGGCCATCATCCCTGTCAAATAATACCATGCGGGACACATTCGTTTTTTCTTCGCGCGCGCACGCCGTCGTCGTCGGCCGCGGGGCCCTGAATAGTAGCCACGGTCGTCCGCATGCCACGAAGTGAAGTGTCCGAACGTCATAGGGCGGGAAGCTGGGTGTGGGTGGTGGCGAAGAGTCGTTTGGAAATTTGGTAGAGCTTGAACCGGCCCCCCCACAAAGTGGGGGCATTGCCCGCCTCCTATGAAAACCCTGGCACTGGTGAGAACGGTGTGTCCCCACGTGCTAGTAATTGTTGTTGTTGTTGAACATTATTAATTCTAAAGAATAATTATTGTTGGGCCCCCTGGTGCACGCCCCCCCCCCCGCGCTAGGCCGCAGCCACATTTTCATCATTTTCGTGAGGAAGCCTCAGGTAAAACGATGTGATCCAGATCCGGTTGTTTTGTTGTAATCCGTTTTCCCTTGCAAAAAAACACTATAAAATGACATTTCTTGTTCTAATATAATCAAATTTCAAGAATCCCTTGCAAAAAATAAGGTAAAGTGGACATTCGCGCGCGCAAGACGAAATCCTTCCAAAAGCTTAGTGTTCGGAGCGATTTTAACATAAAAACATCAAAAAACCAATGGTTTTTCAACAAAAAAATGTCAAAATCTCATCCCGCGCGCTCTTGCGGATTCGTAGGAAAACCAACACTTTTTAAACATTTCTGTCAAACGGGTTTTTGCGAGCAACTTTTTCGAACTTCTGCGACAACGGTTGCGCACCTGCCAGGGCCATCATCCCTGTCAAATAATACCATGCGGGACACATTCGTTTTTTCTTCGCGCGCGCACGCCGTCGTCGTCGGCCGCGGGGCCCTGAATAGTAGCCACGGTCGTCCGCATGCCACGAAGTGAAGTGTCCGAACGTCATAGGGCGGGAAGCTGGGTGTGGGTGGTGGCGAAGAGTCGTTTGGAAATTTGGTAGAGCTTGAACCGGCCCCCCCACAAAGTGGGGGTATTGCCCGCCTCCTATGAAAACCCTGGCACTGGTGAGAACGGAGTGTCCCCAGTCTTAAATGATTGTTGTTGAACATTATTAATTCTAAAGAATAATTATTGTTGGGCCCCCTGGTGCACGGCCCCCCTGCGCCGCCTAGGCCGCAGCTACATTTTCATCATTTTCGTGAGGAAGCCTCAGGTAATTCGATGTGATCCAGATCCGGTTGTTTTGTTCCCCCCCGCTTTCCCTTGCAAAAAACACTATAAAATGACATTTCTTGTTCTAATATAATCAAATTTCAAGAATCCCTTGCAAAAAATAAGGTAAAGTGGACATTCGCGCGCGCAAGACGAAATCCTTCCAAAAGCTTAGTGTTCGGAGCGATTTTAACATAAAAACATCAAAAAACCAATGGTTTTTCAACAAAAAAATGTCAAAATCTCATCCCGCGCGCTCTTGCGGATTCGTAGGAAACCCAACACTTTTTAAACATTTCTGTCAAACGGGCTTTTGCGAGCAACTTTTTCGAACTTCTGCGACAACGGTTGCGCACCTGCCAGGGCCATCATCCCTGTCAAATAATACCATGCGGGACACATTCGTTTTTTGCGCGCGCACGCCGTGACCAACTCCGCTCTCTCTGTCTCTCTCTCTGTCTGCTCTCTGTCTCTCTCTCTGTCTCTCTGTATTATGTATTGTATGGCACAATTGCACCATGCTGGGCACATGCGCGCCCCGAATAAGTGACCAAGTTCTGTGGGTGTGTACCCCACGCCAGTGTAGTAGCCACGGTCGTCCGCACGCCACGAAGTGAAGTGTCCCAACGTCATAGGGCGGGAAGCTGGGTTTGGGTGGTCGCGAAGAGTCGTTTGGATATTTGGTAGAGCTTGTAATGCCCCCCCACGAGTGGGGGTATTGCCTGGTGTCGTATGAAAACCCTGGCACTGGGGAGAACACCACGCGTTCGGGTAAAATGATTGTTGTTGTTGTTGTTGTTGTTGTTGTTGTTATTATTCTAGTTTTTATTATTAGTCCTCCTCCTCCTTTTTTCCTGAGGCTGGCTACTGTGCCTCGGGGACCCGAAGCGTCAGATAGTCTAGGCTTGGACAGGGCCAGGCAATAGGTGCAGTGCCTCCTCGACATCTCAGGCGCGGGAGGTCGGCAGAGACGGCGTGCAGGGCATGCCAGACGGTCTCCATACCCTACCCCATAGTTAGAAATCCCGTCCTCCCACGACCACCCGCCTGCCTTGACGAGGAGCAGCACGACAGCGCATTCGAATGCAGGAATAGCTACGCCAAGGTCCAGATAGCCGTAGCAAGACTTTTTCTTCATCCTCCTTCTTTCCTCCTCCTCCTCCTCCCCCTCCTCCACAATTGCACAATATGAAAATACTCTCCCACTTCCCCTGATGGCGTCCCGAAGATATCCGACAACCCCCCGCGTATTGTTTTTTTACACACAGGATTCCCGGGAAACGGGTTTCCGCTTGTGTTTTTTTCAAAATGCTGCTCTCGCCGAGGCGCCGGCCTCATTTTCGGGCCCCGCTCGTTCCGAATCGTGCTCCCGCTGCAGCGCTGGCCTCATTTCCGTGCTTCCGCTCGTTCCGAATCGTGCTCCCGCTGCAGCGCTGGCCTCATTTCCGCGTTTCCGCCCGTTTCGACTCGTGCTCCCGCTGCAGCGCTGGCGTCATTTCCCGTGCCATGCCACAGCACACGCGCAGCACCACCAGCACCACCAGCACCACCAGCAGCAGCAGCAGCAGCAGCAGCAGCAGCAGCACCACCAGCACCAGCACCAGCACCAGCACCAGCACCAGCACCAGCACCAGCACCACAACCACGCACACACGCACGCACGCACGCACGCGCACCACCACCCACTAGTCCGCGGATAGAGAAAATCAACGCAATGGTAAGGGATGGGAGGGAGGGGTAGGACGTCAGATATGACGCGCGCGCGCACCTAGCTTGCCCCTCCCCCCTCTCCTCCCTCCTGGGCTGGAGCGGCTCCGACGGGAAGAAAGCAGGGCAGGCGGGCGATCCTTCTGCGAATCGCCCTGCCGTCCAACTGCTTACGTCAATCCGCGGCCCCAGACCTGAAAGGAACGTCAAGGGCTCCGCATCGACCCGTAAGCGGCGATGCACCGATAAGCCGGCGAAAGCGAATCCGCACGCTCCTGGGCGGGGTGGGCTACGGGGCTCTCTATCGGCGATGCATCGGCGAGTGGGGGTCGATGCATGCCCCGCCTTGAGCCTAAGCCTATCCCCCCCCAACGCTGCCCCTGAAACGTCCGCCGATTTGAGTTTAGTTCAAGGTGCGGCCCCAGATCGTTCAGGGCGTTAGGAACTCTGCTACTCCTCGGCTCTCGCTGGAGTTTTCATGATTTCTCTTCAGATGTGCCTGGACATCTCTGGATCTACTTGAATTTATGCACCTGGCTCGAATCCCGAAGGTCGATTAGGAATAAGTCCTCAAGCTCTAGGGGCCAGAGGTCCCGACCGCTTCCCCGAGTGTGTCTTTTTCGCCTTGGATGAATGTGTGATGGCCCCAGGCCCACAAATTGGCCCTGGAGGGCCGAACGCCCATATTCAAACACTCACATCGTCGTAGATCTGGGTCGGGGTGGGTGGTGTGGGCGGGGACGACGAGGGGAGGGACCTCTCATGTTTCTTCCACGACGTGAGGATGCCAATCGACGAGGAGGGGACTGGAAGGGACTGGAGAGGAAAAAGAGGTCGGGTGCGGCCCGACCCCTGACGTGACGAGCCCCCCACCGTGACGGGCCCTTTGCCGTTTGGCCGCCCTCGCCTCACGAGGCTCCCGCCTCTGGCCTCCCTCGCCCGCGCCCTGGAAGAATGCGGCGAGGGGGGGGTCGCCACGGAAGGGGTCGGCTTGCCAAGGATCGGTCGGGCTCTACAGTCTACGAAACGGACACGCTCGCGAGAAGCCCTCGCAAGGAACCCGGCCGTGAGACTCCGAGCGCGATATGCAACTGGGGGACAACCCAGCGCGCCCTGGATGCGGCATTTCCGTGACGCCCGCGGAAAGATAAGATCACAGGATAAGATCACAGTTTTTTCTGCAATATTTTGTTTTTCCCCATATCCTAAGGATTGGGGTTCTTGTTATTACTCTGACGCCTCCCACTGCCCCTCCTTCCTCCCGCTCGCGCCTCCCTCCTCCCAATGATAATCACCA